GGATCACCCCTAAATCCCCGGATCACCCCCCAAATCCCGGGATCTCCCCCAAATCCCCGGATCTCCCCCAAATCCCGGGATCTCCCCCAAATCCCGGGATCACCCCCAAATCCCGGGATCCCCGCTCCCCAACCCCCCGATTCCCGCTCCACGGGAAATCCAGGCTGGAATTCCCGAGCTCCAGGAGGAGGAGGAGGAGGAGGGGGAGGAGGGCGCAGGTGGCCGAGGAGGACGCGGTGCTGGCGCTGGGGGCGGTGGCTCCGGAGCGGAGGGTCCTTGGAAAGGTGACTGCCAGCCGCAGGGAGGGAGCGGCCGGGTCACCTTTGTCACCAGGCGGGCGCAGGTGACAAAGTTTGACCCCGCTGCCCCTCGGTGCTCGCAGGGACCGGCTCCGCCTCGGCTGAGCCTCCCCGGTTCTCTCTGGGACTCGCTCCGGCTTCGCTAATTCCTTGGTGCGTGCGGGGACCGACCGATCTCTGAGCTCCCGGCTGCCCTCAAGGACCGGACCGGACCGGCCCGGCCCGGCTCGCTGCGACCCCGGTGCCTGCAGGGCCCGGCTCTCGGTGCCCGACATGGGGCTGCTGACCCAGCTAGTCCGCGGGCTGGTGCGCGGCGCCGACCGCATGTCGCCGTTCACCAGCAAGCGCGGCCCCCGGAGCTACAACAAGGGCCGCGGGGCCAAGAAGCTGGGCGTGCTCACTCGCAACAAGAAGTTCCTCCTCGTCAAGGAGATGGTGCCCGAGTTCGTCGTGCCCGACCTGACGGGTTTCAAGCTGCGGCCCTACGTGTCGTACCGCGCCCCCGAGGGCAGCGAGCCGCCCATGACGGCCAAGCAGCTCTTCGATGAGCTGGTGGCTCCGCGAATCGAGAAGGACGTGAAGGACGGCAAATTCGACCCCAACAACCTGGAGAAGTACGGCTTCGAGCCCACACAGGACGGGAAGCTCTTCCAGCTCTTCCCCAAGAACTACGTGCGGTAGGGAGCGGGCAGTGGTACCGCCGGCCAACACTGGACAGGCTCTGCCACTGAACATTAAAGTAAATCCTTCTACCTTGTTCCTCTGTAATATCTGATTTAAATCCTGGAGGAAATCTGCGGTTTGGTTTCCCACCCATGACTGGCAGTTCTTCTGGGAGATAGTTGTGCCTGGTGAGCACAGCCATCTCTGGGGGTAGTGAGGGGTCCGTGACTTTTCTAAATAAAAAGTACTGCAAAGTTTAATTTTTAAGCTTTCAAATTAAGACAGAAAACGTCTGGCTTTAGGCCAGGCTGGTCCCAGTCGGAGACACCGCTCCAGCTTTGCTGCCCTTGGTTTTCCCAGGAAACTGGATTATCCACTCTGACTCCCAAAAAACATTCACCCCTTGGAGCCCGAGCCATCCCAGGCCAAGGCAGAAGGTCCTCATAAGGACTGTCATTTTATTTTTAAAACTCAAAACCACCACAAAAAGATAAATCATTTATACTGGTTTTATTTTAGAAACATCCAAAAATAGCATGATTTTTCTTTAGCAAAAGCTCTTGTTTTCATTATTAATAGGAATCTTCATGTAACAGTGCTCCAGAATGTTTGCTAAAATACACCTTCACCCTTGAGAAGGGGGTTTCTAAACAGCAAAGTTCTCATCTGCTGGACCTGGTTTAGTTGCAGCACTGTTACGCTGTTGCTGGTGTTTCTTTCCCTCCAGACAACTCATTCTTTAAGACCCGCAAAGACAAACCATGCAAGCTAAAAGTTCCTGTGATCTAGTTTAAGCTGGTTTTCTGTTTCTAGGAATAGAGAAAATGCTCCAGAAAGGGTGTTTTGCTGATAGTTCACAGTGAAAAAAAAAGAGAGCTAATGGAGCAACCATGAGAAATCCTGCAGCCATTCCTGGAGGTAGGTAGGGCAATGCTGTTAAGATTTTGGTATTCTGTTCTTATTTTAAACTCAAGAAGATGTCAAGAAACACCCCTTAAACTTTTTGGAGGTTTTGATCTTAAAGCTGTTCACCTTTTAAAAACTGAGCTTGACTTTGGACCTAAAGGTGGCTCTGTGGAGAGCAGAAGGCATGAGCTGGATACTGAGAGGCCATGGGGGTGGTTGAGTGGCACTAAAACATGGTGGGGTCACTACAGGATTTGTCTAAACCAGGGTGTGCTCAGCTGGGAATGATGGAGTCTGCAGTCAGGTGATGAGTCCGATGCAAAATGATGGAGAAGCACCAGGATCCTCACAAGGAGGATCCCACAGCACTTCCCATCACTCCAGGCAGTTTGCACTTCCTTCTGAAACAAGAACTTCTCTCTGTTAAACATCACTGTGATCACATTGCACTGTGTCTGGCCTGGCTGAGCTCTTCTCCAGAGGCACACCCATCACACAACCAAGCCACTGCTCAGGGGCTTTTCTGAGACATTCATGAAACCTTCTGATCACTTACTGGGTCTGCACAGCAGCAGCACAGACGAGTCTGTTTTGTGAGGGAAGCAGAACAGGCTTAACAGATCCATTGTGAAATGCAAACCAGCCTTGAAAGGATTCAGATCTGAGGTACAAAGCAGCAGCCTGTGAGAGGAGGGCTGTTCCACTTGGAACTGGTACATTAAGGGAAAAACTAAATAAACCTGTCTGGGCATGACCACAGGCCTCTAAGCAAAGGCTCCCCTTTGTGCTGAAAATACAACACCGGGAATTCCATCAGTGTTGGCCTTGAGGGACTCCCAAGCTCAGCAGTAAGATGGGGAAGCCCAGCAGAAGTTATAGTGTTAAGTTCAGCTGTAGTTCTCAGTTCAGGAGTTTTCCTCCCTCTTCCCTCAGGACCAGTCAATGCAAACTTTCAGCTGTTCTTTTGGATGGAGATCTAGGACTTGGCACATCTGGAGGGGTCACCAGGCTCATCTCCCACTTCCAGACGTGGAGGATGTTGTCATAGAAAGAACAGGTGGCTACAATGCTCATTTCTTTGGGGCTGTCTGGAGACCTGGCTGAGTCACTGCCTCTGTCCAGGCCCATTCCATTGGGTCTCTTGGCTCCTGAGTCAGAGCTGCTGGCTGACCCCAGATCTGCCCCTTGGGCAGCCAAATCTAAACTTCCCTTTAAACCAGAGCCCTTGACCAGTCCAGGATCCCCAGCCAGCTTTGGCCCTGCCCCTGCTGCGAGTGCCACAGCAGGGCTTTCACTCTCCTCCTCCAGGACTACATCAAAAGTAGCTGTAGGAGACTCATAAATTATCTTCAGGTTCTGGACCTGCAAATTCAGCCTCTCGTCTCCTTGCCCTGATGCTCCCACGAGCTCCTCCGAAGGCTGGCACGCAGCAGCAAGGTCCTGGCTTGCAGGCAAGGAATCCCTCGGACACAGCCTTGACCAGTCAGCCCCATAGGCCAAGGAATTGTGCAGGACATAGGATGACAGGATGATACATTCCTCTGTGTTTTCCGCTTTAAAAAAAGAAAAAGATAAATGAAATTACTTAAAAAGCAAGTTGTGGGTTTTTTCATGCTATTCTGGATTAACCAGGCTGCAAAGCACTTCCTTCTTGAGGCAATAACTGATTTTCCAGCAGGTCAGTGACTCCTGCTAAAAAGGAAAGCACCACCTGACAGTCAGAAGCACCTTTCTGAACCATCACAACGAACACAAACCCAGAATGGTTGTGCCCTCACACCAAACACAAAGGCTTTCCTCTCGTGAAAAGAAGTTATGAGAGATTTACACACAGATAGTGACACTGAGATGGTGTTAATACATCACCTCAGTCCTTCCAGCTCCCCATGAACCTGGAGGCAGTGAAGGAGAGCAGCCCTGGAGCACCCTGTTCCCTGGGCACTCACCCAGGCTCCCACGGCAGTCGAGGATCTTGAAGCCACTCTGCATGCAGGCTGCCAGGAGCACGAAATCACACGTGGGGTGCCACTTCAGCCTCCACACCCCACCTTCCACGTGGGTGTCAGCCAGCGGCTGCCTCATGTTCCTGGTGTCCCACAGCAGCACGTGCTCATCATAGCTGGGGACACAACACAAACAGGCAGAAAAGCAGCACAGCTGAGTCAGGGCACAGAAGAAAGGTAGGAAAGACCACGTGCTCTGCACCACATGGAATTTCTGAAGAGGCAGCAGCACGTTCAGGTAACAGAGGAGGTTGGTCACACCAGGGAAGAGCAGCTGAAAGGGACTCACCTGCCCGTGGCCAGGAGATTCTCCCGGTGGGGACTGCACTGAATGCTGCACACACCCATGGAATGTCTGCAGAGGGAAGAGACAGCAATTTGAGAAGGGCTTCTTCCTTGAATTTCAAGGATTTTGAGTCCACATTATTTCATCAAGGTGTCTCAAGAGTGGTTAGCTAAAATTGCACTCCAGTGACCCACCCAAGCAGAGTTCCATCTGCACAGTCCAACAGCTTTCCCAGGGACAAAAGTTGTTGAAGTTGTTTTGATGAAAGAAATTATATATGCCTCCATTTCCCAAGGGAAGCAGAACCAGGATCTGCTGTCACTGCACATCTCCGAATTCAGTGGCTTGGGGAGGGGCAGGGCAGCAGTGTCCCCACCCCACTGCTGGAGGGCTGGGTGTGGACAGGTCTCACTTACCTCCTGCTGGTGAAGACTGGAGCCTCCGGACTGCACCTGGTGTCCCAGCCCTTGAGCAGGCTGTCATCCCCTCCTGCCCAAGGACAAAACACTGTGACTCTCAGCACCAGCCCTGAGCGTGGGGCAAAGCAGTGCCGAGGGTCTGCAGCCTCCTCGTGCGGGGCAGCTCCAACCTCTGCTCTGGGACAGGGACAGAGCCAGGGAACGGCTGGAGCTGGGCCAGGCCAGGCTCAGGCTGCAGATCAGGGCAAGGTTCTTCCCCCAGAGGCTGCTGGCACTGCCCAGGCTCCCCAGGGAATGGGCACGGCCCCGAGGCTGCCAGAGCTCCAGGGATGCCCAGGCTGGGATGTTGGGGGGTCTGGGCAGGGCTGGGAGCTGGGCTGGGTGATCCTGGGTGTCCCTGCTGCTCAGGGCAGTCTGTGACACACAGCTGATGCTTTCCAGCCCTGGGCTTTCACAGAATTTAACAGCCACACCAAAAATGACATTGAGGCTCCCAATACCCATCACCACAGAAAACACACGTGGTATCAGTATGGTGGTACTCCATATTAACTCCAAACACTTTCCACCATCAAGAAAAGAAGCCTTTCACCCCTAACCAGAGGCCCCAGCTCTTTCAAGAGGTGATGCAAACAGCACACCCAGCCCTGTAAAGTAAAAACCCAAGGAACACATCCCTAAACAAGGGGCCCCCTCCCCAACAGCCCCCAAGGAGATTCCCATCCCATCCAGACCTGAATACACAATATCAGTGTCCCAGTAATTAAAAGCAGCAATCCAGGCCTCAAATTTGTGAGCTTCCCACTGGTTCAGGACGTGCACAGAAGGAGCAGATTCATCTATGGAGAAAAGATTCAGCTTCCCCTCTGAATCACTGCTGATCACTCTTAAAGGACATCCACTACAGCAGGGTACAAAAAAATATTAGGAATTACTGCGACAATCAGATATTTTGGTTCAACTAAACACTGACAGAGACTGGCAGTCTCTCCTCCTAGTGGCAGGAATGACACATTCCTACAATTCTTTCCAGCTTCATCTTAAAATCACCTGCCCCAGTGACCACCACTCCCTGCTATCACAGGGAACAACCACTCACACCCATGCCAGGGAAAGAACCACTATGGCATTGTCTTTCTCAGAATGCAAAACTTGACTTCTGACATGTTTCACATTACATCACTAAACAAATTCCATGTGAAGAGGGTTTGTTTTTTTTTTTCTCCAAGTCAGACTGACAATGCCCTTTCAGAACCTCTTCCCTCTTCTGGAGTACAAAGAGATGTTTTATTTCCTTGCTATCACTGAAACCCAAAGCACTGGCTGATCCTGACCTTTCCTGCTCTCTTCCTGTGCCACAGTACAGTTACAGTTTCTAGACACAGTGACCTTGGAGCACTGGCAAATGTTTTGCAATTGCCAGTGCACAGATTTTCTGGCATTTCCTGACATGAACTAGGTCCCTTCTGTTTGGTTACCTGCAACTGCAGG